AGCCCTCCCCTACACAGAACAATAGAGTGATGACACATGTTTCTCTACTCCAGCAATTACCTAAGACTCTACCCCATGCCACTTACAGGTGAGATTTTCACAATAGACCATACTACTAAGTCAGGGAAACAAAACAGCTCTACTGAATACACAGAAACCAACACAGGGAGGCTGCCAAAATGAGGAGACAAAGAAATATGGACCAAATGAAAGAACAGAACAAAACTCCAGGAAAAGAACTAGACAAAATGGAGATAAGCAACATGTCAGATGCAGAGTTAAAAACACTGGTTATCAGGGTGCCCCAGGAACTCATTGGGTACTTCAAAAGCATAAAAAAGACCCAGGCAGAAATGAAGGTTTCATTAAGTGAAATAAATAAAAATCTACAGGGAACCAACAGTGGAGATAATGAAGCCAAGAATCAAATCAATTATTTGGAACACAAGGAAGGAAAAAGCATTCAATCAGAACAGCAGGAAGAAAACAAATAATAACAAAAACAAGAATAGGCTTAGGAACCTCTGCGACATCTTTAAATGTACCAACATCTGAGCCATACTAGTGCCAGAGGAGAAGAGGAAGAGCAAGAAATTGAAAACTTACTTGAAAAAATAATGAAAGAAAACTTCCCTGATTTGGTGAAGGAAATACACATACAAGTCCAGGAAGCACAGAAAGTCCCAAAGAAGATGGACCTGAAGAGAACCATACCAAGACATATAATTAAAATGTCAAAGGTTTAATATAGAGAACTTTGAACAGCAAGAGAAAAGCAGATATTTACATACAAAGGAGCTCCCAGAAGACTGTCAGCTGATTTCTCAAAAGAAATTTTGCAGGCCAGAAGGGACTGGCAAGAAGTATTCAAAGTGAGAAAAAGCAAGGACCTACAACTAAGATTACTCTACCCAGAAAAGGTATCATTTAGAATTGAAGGGCAGATAAAGTGTTTCCCAGAGAAGGTAAAGCTAAAGGAGTTTATCATAACCAAGCCATCGTTACATGAAATGTTAGAGTGACTTATTTAAGAAAAAGAACAAAAATATGAACATTAAAGTGTCAATAAATTCACAAGTATCAACAGCTGATTGTAAAAACAAATTAAGAAATCAAGCAGAACAGGAACAGAATCATAGACATGGAGATCATTTGGAGGGATATCAGCTGGGAGAGGGAAGTGGGGTACAGGGGGGAAAGGTGCAAGGAGTAAGAAGCACAAAGTGGTAGGTACAAAATAGACAAGGGGATGTTAAGAACAGTGTGGGTAATGGAGTAGCCAAAGAACTTATATGCATGACACATGGACATGAATTAATGGGGGTGATTTTTGGAGGGAATGGGGGTACTGTGTGGAGCATGACAAAGGGAAAAAATTGGGACAACTGTAATAGCATAATAAATAAAATATATTTTAGCCCTGGCTTTTGTGGCCCAGTGGATCGAGTGCCCACCTGAGGACCACAGGGTCACCAGTTTGATTCCTAGTCAGGGAACATGACTGGGATGCAAGCCAGGTTCCCACTAGGGTGGCACGTGAGAGGCAACCACACATTGATGTTTCTCTCCCTGTCTTTCTCCCTCCCTTATCCTCTCTCTAAAAATGAATAAATAAAATGTTTACAAAAATGTATCTCAAGAAAAGAAAAAGACAATGCTGAAAGATGATTGAGGAGGTGGGGCTGGGGAGAAAATCAAAGTGTTGTTGAGACAAGGATGGGGTCAGAGTGTGCCAGGTGGTGTGCAAAGCATTTTGTCCAGAGCCTCTCGTTTAATGTACACGAGAACCCTATGAAGACATCCCACCTCATAAATGAAGAGATTTGGATCTAAGCAGCAAAACCAACATTGAGACTCTTGTCTATGGAATGCCAATCCAGAAGGGCCCCCTACCCTGGAAGGCTGACAAAGCATTGTCCTAGCAAGGGGGACAAGTATTCTGTGGGCAGAAAGGGCACTTGGGACTGCGTGAGGGATCAAGAGTTTTAGAAGCTGTCTTATGCCACCAGCTAATTGCCTATTCCCCACATCCCTGGAGCTGATGGGCCCTCACATGGAATTCATTACTCCAAGGAGAATGAAGACTGAATGGCTGGCTGAGGTGGGAAAGGCCACCACTTGGTGGAAGTCAGCACAATCCAGCAGGTGATAGGGATCTTAGCTGGACCACACCAGTCCAGGCAGTCAAGACAGTCAAATATTGGTAGTTTCATATGGCTCGATCTAATATATGTGTTGATATATAAGTATGTAATAAAAACAAAGTATGTTTGATAGTATTGTGCCATTTTTGTTTAAAAAACCTGCCATTTTGCCAGTTTTTGCCTGATATATCTTTCCTGAAAGTAATTATATTAAACTGTTAACTGGTTTCTTCTGGAGAGAGAGATTGGGGTGGGAAGTCGAGGGAGGGAGGAGGGAGGAGACTTTCCCTTCTGTCATGCTCCTTTCTGTCATGTTTGGCTTTTCCATATGCATAGATTACTTTTATTATTTATTTTACTGTCCATAAGGCTGTCTAAGGTGCTTGAAATCCCTCCTCCCCACAGTGAGGACTATCTGCAAATATCAGCTACCAACCTCAGTGACAGGGAGGAATGAGAGGAGCTGATAGCAGCAACCCCAATGAGTTGTGATTTCTTATTGCCAGGTTTGGCAGTGCACAACAGGGAAATGGGCCTCTGAGCCTAGATTCTGAGGCTTTCCATGTACCCTGATCCAGCCAGGGATAGGTCAGCCCCTCTCTGCAGCCCAGGGCCCCAGAGGGCCTGCAGAAGGACATATTCCTCTGCTGAAAGGAAGTGCTACCAAGTTGGCCAAACAGGAGACTGATGTCCACAGGTTGCCATTCCTGTGAAGATATGGGACTCGAAGTCCAGGAGGTACATGTCCCTAAGAGGTGACCCTGGCCCAGTGACACAATGTTCCTGGGTCCTCACCTGGGCTTCCTTCTCTTCTACCCAGGTAAACCCAAAGTGAAGATGTAAAGCCATAGTCTTCCATCCTGTCCTTCCTTAGTGGGCACAGGGCCTGGTAACCCCCACTGCCAAAAACCTTGTCATGTCTGACAATGTAGAGCTAAGAGATCGTAATCTGGACAGGTACTTTCTTCTGCATCTTTGTGCTGCTGCTACCTTATCCCCCTCTCCCCACCATAAATATCTTTCCCCCACAGCCTCCTTCTCTGCCATTACCCCTCCCCAAGCTGTCTTGGCTCCTTTTATCTTTACCTCTGACTTCCTGATGCCTACCTTTCCTTTTCATAGTCTCTCCTGACCACCCTGCAATGAAGGAACATAATGCCTGTAGCTTGATTAATTGAAGAGGTAGATAAGAGGGTCTAAAATGGCACTGGATTCGAAACCTAGCCTCACTTGCAGCTTTACTTCCACTACAAACTACTCCAGATGTTTATTCAATGCACATTTGTCAAACACCCAGTCTCTGCCATGCCATGGGTGAGTGCAGTGAAAACAAGGGGACAGAAGAGGTTCAGCCCCTGCTTTGGAGTAGGCATTATAGTCCAGTGGCATTGAACCAAGCATTCACCCTATTTCAACTCAGTGTTTTTCTTGTGACAAATGTACTGTTCTTTCTCCCTAAACAGCTTGTTATAAGATATGGACTGAGTGAGAATGTGAAAGTGAGAGCCTTGATTAGCCATGAAACACAAAGTTTGTAAATGCATTTAGGTGACTTGGATGGGTATTCCCTCCCTTCACCTTTCCCCAGACCTGGGCCCCCCAGTACCTGCTGTGTCGAGGATGCAGCAGGGCCCAAGAGAGACACACAGGGTGGAGGTTCTCCTGAATGAGGCCCCTCAGGGCCAGCCAGCAGTTGTTCAGTGGGTTTAGGTGTTGGGGAAAGCCTTCTGTAGAAAGTGTGTGGAGGTGAGTTGTTCATTCAGGAGTGTGCTCCTGGTATAAAGAGCCCCACACAGCATTTTGGTGTTTTTCAAACTAAAATTCTGAATAAAATTCAGGAGTTTTATGGCTGAGAACAAAATTCAAGACCAGAGTTACAGAGTAGAACCAGAGGGGGAAGCCTATTTGTAGGGAATAAACAAACCCAATTTAGGAGATTTGGGATGGGACCCTACACCCACCAGAAGCCTGACCTTGGCCAGTTCCTACCAATGTTTGTGTCTCAAATGTCCTCCTCTGTGAACTGGGATGGATGCTCACCATGCTGAAAACTCAGGTGAGGCAGCTAAGGGAGCCCTCACTGGTGGCCTTTCCTCAGTCACTCCTTTCCTGGACAACCCACAGGTCTCCCAAAGGAGGCTTTGAGACCAGATAGGCAGGGTCCTACCTTACCCTAGTGTCCAGGCCATCCAGAGGTGACTAACTTGATCATTCACAATTGTCCTCGCAAGCACTCGTGTGACTTGGAGAAACTTGGGTTTTAGAGTCAAGCCCCAGCTCGGCTCCTTCCTGTGGGCACTTCAACTTCTATCATCCTCAGTCTCCATATCCATGAAATTGAAGCAATAGCACCATTGTGCTGTGAGTGTATGCTGTGATGGCACATGCAACATAGCTGATATCTGCCAGTTTCCCCTGGGATATCCTCATGCCATCTGATGCCATGGCGAGGCCCTCCTACTTTGAGGAGGTTACTGGGCTTGGGCAGCCTCTGTAACTGACTCCCCCCTCGGCCAGTACATCTGCCTTCCTGTAGCAGAGGGCCAGGACACTTCTCCCCCCTCCTTGGTCTCTCAGGCTGGCTCTCAGCCTGAGGGACCAAGACTCTGGGCTGGTGTTTTTTGTTTCCAGGCTCCTAAAGTGAACCTTTACCTCTCTACTTCATAGGCCTGTCCCACCTTGTTGGCAGGTGAGCCTTATAGTATTTACTTATGTTTGAGCCTCCCAGTACCCCACTTGCCAAGCCACTCTCCTCTGAGAGGTGACCTACTCCTCCCATCCTCCCAACTGACAGGACAAAGGCCTGTAGGCCCAGTGCATCCAAATAAGCAGAGAAGCTCCCAGGTGCTCCCTTACCTTATCAGGACTGGTAGCTGGCTGACTCCCTTCTCTTCCAGCCTAGGCACTATGAAAGAGCAGGATAGGAGGTGGTGCCAGGGTTCAGGATATGGAGGAGAGTATGGAGAGCAGGAAAGGACAGAAGGGCCTGAGGAGGAAATGGCCCAGCACTCTGGACTCACGTAATTTATTACTGGACTTTGTCCTTAGTATACAGGCCTATCCACTCCCACAGGCTTCTGCAACCCCAGCAAGCAGAGCCTCACAGGACTGTGATCTTTAACCCTGGCCTCCTCAGCAGAGAGTCCTCACAGGCCATCAGAGCTCTTAGTCATATACATTTTGCTGGCCATCAGTGAAACCCCTGGTGACAATTAGCCAGCTGATCATTCAGGGAGCTCAGCATCTTCCCAGGATTCATGAGGACTCCAAAGAAGCTGACAGCAGGAAGTTTGCTCCCAAACACCTGTGTTCTAACTTGAGGCACACATACAAGAAACAGTCAGAAAGCCTTATCAGGCACGTAGATTCCCAGTAGCTTCCCTGGGAACAAAAAGTCTGGCTTGGGCTGGAACTTGAACAAAGGGAACATTTTTTCTGTGAGCCAAATACAGGTCCTTCTGAAGGGAAGGACATCCAGCTACGTGCCTCAGGAGAGGCCAGACTCCAGGGCACAGCAGTAGCTGGAAGTCAGCGTGAGGGTGAGGGTTTTAAAGATATTGGTTAGGAAAAAAAAAGATACCAATTCACTGCAACCCTGTGCTTGGGTAAAGGGATGCCCAGGTAGTCCTGTAGCTGGCCAGCCAGATTCCTTCACTTTCCCAGTATATGGAGTAACCTGGGAGCTGCAAGCATAGATATGGTAACTATCATTTTTATGTAGAGTTGAGACCACGGCAGTGTGGCAACCCTGATGTCAGGCCTCTACTAGGGACAGAAACCAAGTGCTGGTGAGAGAAAGGGAAGAGAAAAGCCACAGACATGGAGGCCCTGTGTGGCCCTGGAGAGAGGCTGTGGCTGGCTGATAGTTTCCTGAGTTTCCTTTACTTCCTGCAGGGTAGGGGGAGGAAGAGGTTTGTAGGGTCCCCAGTTTCCTTCTGCTAAAAGCTTATTTTGTTGAGACAGCTTGAAGGAGTTTCTGTTTCTTATAACTGACCAGCCATGACAAGGAAGGGAAACAATTGGGAGGTGACTTAATGAGGGGGCATTAGGAGAAAGGTGTGCTTTCAGCCTTTTAGCCAGCCCCTGCCTGCTCCCCACCAGGAGCACTGTGCTCAAGTTCCACCCTGGTGCCAACTAATTTCCCACCCTCTAAAATCTCGTCTTATTTCTGGGCCAGTACTTGCTTTTGGGGGGCTTCACATGGCACATGTTTTCTCTGGTTTAGAAAGATACCATTTAACTCCCACATGGAAGCTTCAGAAATGGTGAGCCCCTTATCTGGAATCCCAGCACCAGACTGTGTTCTCTACAACCCTCTTCCATTGTTCTTGAGAAAAAAAAAAGAGTGGGACAGATTATGTGTATAGAAGAAAATGATTTAAAACACCGCTCTGTCCAACTTTTGCCTGTCTTAAGCAAAATGTAATAGAAATACATTTTAAATACCTACAAACTTGTCTTCCATCTCTCTTTACATTCAACATTATACAATAAACTTATGTAATGAATTTTAAGCACTAGTCTTTGAAGACAGCACCATACTCCATCCTACACACATTCCATAATTTGTGTAACCATCCTCCCCAAGTGGACATCAGGAAGTAGCCAATCCTTTGCTGTCATTTACAACACTGCAATGAATAATGTGCCCTCACGGCTTTGTTTGTGTTGTGTCATCACAGGAATATTTGAGAAGGGAACTTGTAGAAACAAGGGGAGTGAACATTTTTTTGCTAATCTTTCTCAAGTTGCACATCAAGTCCTACCTCCCAGCAAAAGGGGTGTGCGTGGTTGCCAAGACCTAGCCTGACTGTTGTGTGAGCTAGCAGGGTTCAGAGGGGACATTATGAGGGACCACTTCCCTGTAACCTCAGGTTTCCTATTGTTGAGGTACTCCAAACCCTGAAAATCAAGAAGGTGGGGGTGGGGGGAGTCAAGATAGGCTCTTCCTTGTCACAGCATAATGCTACTTCCACAATTCTCCTCAAGATGTGAATATTCTGCTAACTTTTAAAATGTTTTTTTTAAAGATTTTATTTATCTTATTCTTAGACAGAGGGGAATGGAGGGAGAAAGAGGAGAAACATCAGTGTGTGGTTGCCTCTCACATGCCCCCTACTGGGAACCTACCCTGCAACCCAGGCACGTGCCCTGACTAGGAATCGAACCAATAATCCTGTGGTTTGCAGGCTGGTGCTCAATTCACTGAGCCACACCAGCCAGGTAAAATATGTTTCTGAGTTAAGCCAAAGTACCTCTATGGAACCACATATGTTTCATTCCATTCCTCCCCAAGGATGGAACCCATTGTAGTACTGTCACAGCAACTAAAAAAGAGGTGCAGTAGGCATTTTATTTTCAGCTCTACTAACACATCATTGAGGACCTAAACTTGCTTGTTCCTGGTGGCCCTTATCTTCCCATCTAGCCTACAGCAGCTAAGTTATCCATTAATGCTATAAGATAGCACAACGGTCAGCATAGATCTTTGCCACTGAGCTACTCATCAGGGAATTTCATAATTATCAGTGTTAAAGAGAGTGCCTTCAATGTGCTGGGCTCTTTGTATGTGTCATTTCATTTAACTCTCATCAAAAGCTAAAAATTAGGGGTGTTATACTCATTTTATTGTAAGAAAGCTAAAATAAAAAAAGTTGCTTAGGTCATATAGCTAGAAGTGGTGGGGCAATATTTGAATTGAGGTCCATCTGACTCCAAGGCCAGTGCTCACTGAACTTCTTTATACCACACTGACCTTCAAACTAACCTGGCCTTCCTTTTCCCTATGCCCAAGGATGTATGAGACATCCTATTTTTAGAGATTTTTAGAGAAGGTTCTTTCCTAACCTGTCCAAACCCAGGGTCTGAAGAGTCTTTCTCTTTCATTTCCTTAGTCTCCAGTGTGAGGGCAGAGGGATATCTAAGATAAGCAGGCCTTCCCTGCTTCCCTGGAAACAGAACATGCACAGGGCACAATTTATCTGTGTAGTTTAGCACTTCTCAGTCTTGGCACTATTGAAATTTTGAACTAGATTATTGCTTGTTGGGTGGTTGGGAGGAGCTTTCCTGTGCATCGTAGGATATTTAGCAGCATCCTTGGCCTCCACCAACTAGATGCACTCTCCCAGTAGTACAATCAAAATCTCTTTGAATACTGCCGAGTGTCTCCTGGAGAACACGATTACCCCCAGTTGAGAATCAATGTAGATCCCATAGGCCCAGGTGCAATTGAGGCTAGGAGAACTCTTTCTAGTCAAGGCCAGCAAGGGCCAGAATGAAATGTTATCCTGGAATAGGTGACTCCACACTTGGCTTCCTCAAATGGTAGGCTCATAAGATATGGAAGACACAGGGAAGAAGCTATTGGACTAGTGTTTCCTAGAGGATCTTGGTTCTGACATAACAGGGAAATGACCAAATCATCAGCCCAACCAGAGTACCAGCCCAATCCTCTCTGGATCAGCAGCTGTAATATAGATGTTGTTAGACTGGGTGAAGCTTGGATCCAAAGTCCTAATGGGTAAGGAGGCCATCTCAATCCATCATCTCAATCCAGAAAGAAATGATTCATTTCTGATTGTGCTTTATCACCATAACCCCTTTGAGGAATCCACACAGAGGTTCGTTCAAGGCAGTAGGAGGGACAAAGTAGGGGCACAAAATGTAAGAATCACTTTCTTATCTCTGAAGAGCTGTGGGCAAACAGCGAATAAATCTCAGTCTTGGGCCCTGGTTTTTAAACTTAGGCAGTTAGTCATAAACAGGGCACTCTGTCCCAGGACCAGGATCAATGACATCCTGGTGACTAATTTGATTACCCTGGAGAGGTTGAGGTAGTGGGAAGGGAAAGCAAAATCTGATTATGTGCCAAAGTCAGTAAACTAGGTAAATGATGCTTATGGTTCTGATTGTGATGGTAGTAATGGTACTTCAGCTCTTGGGAGAGTTTGACAGTGAGGGGCTCATGGATAAAAACTTCATTTCTGAGGGGAAAAAAGAATTAGAGTGAGTTTCTTTTTAAAAATTTATTGGTTTTTAGAGAGAGAAGAAGAAGAGGAGAGAGATTTGTTATTTCAATTATTTATGTAGCCATTGGTTGATTCTTATATGTGCCCTGTCCAGGTATCAAACCCACAACCTTGGCATATCAGCATATCAGCTCTAACCAGTTGAGTCACCCAGCCAGGGCAGGATGGATTTCTTAACCCCTGGCTAGAAGGTTTGTTACAGAAAACAACTCAGCCACTTTCGGGTGTACGGAGTGGAACTTTATTTACGCATACGGACCCAAAGGAGGCAGTCTCCAAATTCTGGGTCCTGAGCTCAGGCAGGGGCTTGTTTTTATAGTGTGGCATGAGGAAGCGATTTTACTAAGCCTACGTGGCAGAAGCAGGTTTACAGAAGCAAGAAAGCAGAGCTGCTGAGAAAGCAGGGCTGCTGATTGGGTCATACAATGTTCTTTTGTTCTTACTTCTTAGTTACTTAGTTGCTCACCCCTCCTTATCTTAGTGGCTCAGCAAAGGGACCGTGTCCTTCTGACTTGTCTGGGCTTGTCTAAGCAGGTCTCCTGCTACAAGTTCTGTGTGCAACAAGATGAATTTCCTTTTTTTTTCTTGTCCTACAGTTGGGATATTCTTTCCAGCCTTACTCACATTTAGGAGTGGCCATGTAATAAGCTCCACTTGCAAGCCAGGCCCATTATAACTTCCTGTGCCATCTTGTTCTGTCTCTCTTCTCCCTTCAGCTGGTAGCATGCAGAGCATCCAGCAGTAGATTCTAAGGTCCTAGAAAATGGTGGATCCACAATCGGAAAGAGCCTGGACTCCTAAATGACTGCAAGAAACAGAGTACCATCTCTGCCCCCACCACTGCCCATATACAAGAGCAGGAAATATTGCAACATCATGGACAGACCTGGAGAGCATTATACTTTGTGAAAT